ATCCACAGCCTCATTCCAAGCATCTTTTCATGTAAAAACATTTGCTAAGAAACCGTTTCACCAAAAGCATCATTTTTTCAAGAAACATGTTTGCGTGAAATAGCGCAGGACGTACAAATCGCATCCTCTGAATCTAATGTGCACGTCGGATTCACCAACCCCCTCAACAAGGTCAACAAGGTTTGGGAGTGGAGGTATTGGAGACGACATTTTCCCTCATCAAGGTATTGAATTTCAACATGGAAGATGTTGCATGTTGTTTGAAAATCGAAGTCATTATGTTGATTCCGGGCGTAAAGAATATACAGTTGAACTATTATTGAATTTTCTGGGGGCAGAGGGGTTTGATAAATAGGGAAGGTTTTGCCAAGGAATATTTTGCAGGGGAGGTCAAGGTGCTTTAGCATGAGTATAATTTGAGGCCTGAAATGGGTTGTATTAACAAGGGTTGTTGTTTTATCAAAGTTTCAATCACAGGGAGGTCCCTCATAAAGCCTGCTCTAATTGTTAACCTAGGAAAATTAGGAAACATCATAATTTTGGTGGTTCGTCCCCATTAATTAATCAGACAATTTTGGGAACCACATTCTCAAAACAACTGTTTTTGGGGGGCGCAAGAATGTTGGACAACACATATTCATTTGTTGCCGTGTATTCCACTTGGCCATTGGTTTGGACATATGAAGGGTCATTCCAAAGCGGCTGCGCTAAGGGTGGATTCCCTTTCAATGTCGGGAGTCAACTTCACAAACCTGTGGCAGGCCGCTCATGCGAATGACTGAGCGAGGATCTTGGGATGGATGGAATATTTTTATCATCCCACGGTGGGAACTAGCAAGCAGAGCATTGGAACGAGTCTAGAAAAAATGAAAAAAAACGAGTCTAAGCAGAGGGTTGGTGTGTTCAGATACGAGTTCTTTGCTGTGTTTTTGACAACTATGTGTTCACTCAACCGTCCACGTTCGGCGTCACCACGATTGACATTTCACCTCGCCAGGCCTGTGTGCAGAACGAGAACGAGGCCATTTTGGTGGAATTCGTTTCGTTGGGTTTTTTGGGTTTCCTTTTCTAATTGCTATGCTGAACCTGCTGCCATCCAAGCACCTGATTTGAACTAGATCCCAAAAGTGGGAGGCAGTCTTCAGTCGGTGATAGTGGGATGATGCAGGTACCAGTCAGCGGGTTGAAACGTGTTGAACCGAAACTAAATACAAGGTAGCCATGCGAGGGTTGTAGTGTTAAAAACCCGGTATATTTCCAATGCCCACCTCACAGCTAGTGTTTTCTGATGTTTTCTGTGTCATAGCCAGGAGGATTCAACATACACCCAAACTAGAGATGGAGTTGGACCGTCAAACTTAACATTTTGAGGATGTTTGTTCGCGTCCTACAACAATCACCCAGAAGGGCCGTGTTTCAGAGAAGGGCCTGGAGGCTCCAGAGTTGGCTGTGTGACCCTGCAGCATCCTGCAGCCCCATGAGGTGTGTTTCTAGCGGAGGCCCGATGGGTGGACCAGGTCAGTGGGTTCTCCCCTGACAAAGATTTCGGTCTCTTCATTCATAGTTTCATTCAGTTCCGTGTTATATGTGGTTCCTAGAAGTTGCGTTTGATTTTGTTGGCCCGTCCCACTTGGACGACTTTTTCTTCAACTCGATTCACTTCGCCGCCGTCCCCCAACCACACGACCGGCCAGTCGCTCTATCCCAAGCCGCGGGAGCTCACACAGCCGTTGGTGCTCGAGAACTTCGAGGCTCGTTCTCGCGAGCCCGGTGCCCGGGGAGCCAGACACCAAGCTCCAATCCACCAATCCACCAGTATATATTAGCCACTGTTGGGTGGATGACGAGCCTTCAGTCTTCAGTCTTGGAATTGCAATTTCAGGTCTCCCAGGACCCAGCAGTCGCAATTATCTTGGATCAAAGAGACGAGCAGAATCTGGTTGTCGTTGTTTCCTCAGGCGCCTGGAACCGCCAAAACCGGTCCCGTCTTAGACCCAATAGGCACCTGGAACCTGAAAGTGGACCTTTGGAAGACTATTTCCCTCTACACAGTGGTTTTCCAGGTTCCATGTTAATTTTCCTGGGAATATTTCATTTGAGTTCCAACTGTTTCAGGGCTTGGATGACGATGATTTGGATTTGGATCCGGGGTATGAACATCCGATCCACTTGAGGAGTGTATCCCAACAGAAGTGTTCGACCCAAAAGAGCAGCGCCGTCGGGAGGCCATCGTCAAGTTGGCTGGGCTGCCCAAGACTGTCCGGAGTGAAGCAGGGAACGTCCAGGCTTCTACTATCTTCTATAGTTGCAGCCTATCGGATTGAAACAGACATACACTCCCCACAAAAAGCATGGAGGTGGAACTTTGCATCTTGGAAGTGTAGGTGTCCTCATAAATAAGGTGTTTTTCATTACTTCGCTCCAGGTGTGGTTGATCAAAGAACTATTTGTCCTACCACTCGGAGAGGCCCTGGGTGGCCCATTGAAGTTGTTTTTTACGTTTCACTCTTACAAATGAAGCCACAAAGCGGGAAGGGCATGCAGAGAAGGAGTTGGTAGAGTTGGGGTCCCTTGGCAGCCAGGATTTAGAGCGAAAAGCATTCACGTCCATCCAACGAAAAGGGCGCCTTCGAAATGCCAACCTTCACAGGTTTAGCTGGGGATGGACGTGGTGTTCAGAGGTGAGTCGCTGAGATCAGCAATGAGTCGTATGACATCGTCTTACGTTATTTTCACCAGGGTGTTCGACTCGAGAGGGTTCACACCGAGTCCTATAGGAAAATTGAGACAATAGCCCAAACTCAAAGGAAGATTTTCTTTGCCATTTTTTGCCATTGGAGTGTTTTTTTGACAACAAAATTTGATTGTGCATGCCCCTCCAGGACTCCATCGCTATCCGAAAATCTGAGCTGCGTGTAGCCCATAGCGTGTGCGTCAAAAAAGGCTCATAGCCATCTAAACCTTGCCCAGTAATGATCACCGTCTTGCCTCCCAGTGCCCCCCCACCCTGCCCATCCCCACTATCAACACACCCCAACAAACGCACCCCAAACGAAGCCGGTGTTCTCCAGGTGACCTTCTTCAGCCAGCAAGATACTCCGCTGCTGGGGCCTCCCAGCTCGGGCGTTGACCTGTCGCGTCACGTCGTCCACCGTGGAGGTGGGCACAGCTCGAGAGCCGCGCTGGGCCAGCTTCGACCTGAAACAACGGTGTGACCCAACGCACCAAAAGAAAGGACCGTTGACATGAGCAGCACTCATGGAGCCCCAAAAAGTGGCATTGTCAAAGGCGGTATCCTTCGTTGAATCGCTTTTGCCTTGTCGCACCGTTGGTTCCTGTGATTTTGTTCTACCATGGGCAGCTGTTGCCCTGTTTGATGCTCGCTGCCAAGTCCTTGGACCCTGGGTCAATACCGTTTTGCTCGGCCGATGGGCGCATGGGTGAGATCGAGCATGTTGAGGATGGCACTGGAACAAAAGATGGGGTTGGGAAGGGACCCCCACTCATCCAATGTGCTTCGTTGAAATCGAGATTGAATACATTTACTATGGTGCCTGGCTACCGGTGAGCTGCCGACCCGAAACTCCCCCACTCCCACGGCCGGATTCTGGCGGCAACTCCGAGGTACTCGGAAGTGAGGAGGGTCCTGCCAGCCACGTTGCCAACACGCCCGTCGGGCCGTCGAACATCGGCAACCCAGACCATCCGCCGACCTGGCACCTGGCGCCCAGTTTGTTTTGTGTTTTTGGTTTCTCGCATTTGAAGGTCTAGATTCTTAGGGCGATTTGAAGGTTTTTGCTGCGGCAGAGGGTAAGTCGCAGATGTGAACCACCCGCTGGTGATTCGAGAGGTGGTCAAAATCACCAATTGGAGCGAGTCCGAGTCGGAAACAGATTGTAAACATTCAAGCAGTTATATATATATGTTACATAGGATGGTACATATGCCGTTGCGAGCCTCAAAAACACACATCCTATCCTAAAAACCGGCATCATTTGTCTTATATGCCGCCATTCATACTCGGGCTCTACCAGCAAAGCCGACGGTCTTTTTCAACAAATCCGAAGGGTCTACAGAAGTCGAAGAAAAGAAGATCCGGGTCGATCATCATCCCCCGCTTCAAGTTGCGGTTTGGGCACACATCGTTTGAACCAACGAACGACGGAACACGAAAACCACGGTCCGGAGTCGCGTTTGGGGAGCCGCCTTTGGAGAACGCAGCTTGGTTTTTGATTTATGCTTTTGCAGAAATATGTGATCCAAACACTCCATGGGACGGCCATATATGCCGATCAATTGACCCCCAAAACCACCCCAATGTAGGCATATGGCATACATGGAGTGTCTGGGTGATGTATCACAGGGATCTCTGGAAAACCACCAGCTTTGAACATCGGCTTTGTTTCCACCAGGCAGACTTGTCGCTGGGCTGTCGGGCTCGCGGTGAGTCCGGACGGTGGTGCTGGGCTCGAGGCTTGAGGACCAGCAACATAGACTGTAGCAGCTAATCACTGACATGGGCAAAGTGTTTTTTAAAGCATTGTTAAGCTAACATATGGTAAAAATCCATTCATGTCGAGAGTTTATAAAGTATACCGTATAAAGGGTTTGTGGATACCCTCCTCAGACCACGGTTTTTGGGGTTCTGAGCGTTGATTTGAAATTAAATGATCGCTTGAGTTTTTTTACATTCCTGGCCTGGCCTAGACAACTTCAATATCGGTGAACCATTCTTGGTCCACGACCTTGTAGCAGGTGAATGGACCAGGGTGACAAGGCCTTGTAAGGGTTCCCCAAGTTGCTACCTATGGGACTTTGTACAAGAAGAACGACGCGGGTAAAGACAGACAACCAATGACCCAAGTGTTGTGTGTTTTGATTTTACTCTTCATGTCTATGTTGTGTGATTCGTTCTTCGCTTTGTTGGTCGCGTTTCCATCACGAGATTATTTGACAGTGACCTGATGACAGGTCCCTTGCACCAGAAATAAGAAGAAGACAGAAGGGTGTACCCTTCTTCCGCGAAAACCTCGAGAACCGTGAGGACTGTTGCTTCGTTGCACCAAAGAGTGCATCGACTTGCCATGTTCCCTTCTCTTCTGCGCCGCTCAACTGCTGTGGGCTACATTGCTCGTGCCAAAGCACATGGCGCCCAGAGTTGACTGGCAGCAGCAAACGAGCTATAAAGTACCCTGCGCAGATTGGCACATAGACCAAGTATATACCACCTATACCACCTATACCAATAAAAACGAGCTATATATATACCACCCAGCTCGGGTTCATAGACCCCCCCACTACCATTGGTTGACCATTCCAACAATCCAAACTGCCTGGTCCTGACTTCTCGGTCTCCACCGACTTCTCGGTCGCTGGTCGCCCGCGTTCCAACCCTTGAGCCCTACACACCTGTCCCAACAACATGAGGGCTAGCAATAAGGGGTGCGAGGCCGGAAGTAACAGCTAAGCCGTTGTTTTGGCCATTGTTGAGTGAACATGTCACGAAAGGTAGCAACATGTAGCAACATGCTCAAAGCATCTCAAAGCTAAATACCGGTGCTTTGGGCAGCAGAAATGAAGACACAATGTAAAGTAAAAACCATATAAATTTGTTTCTTGCTTCTAATGCAAAAGACCGTGTCCATATCGTGGTTTTTGGCTTGCCGAGGTGCAAACAATATTTGCACTGTTTTTGGGCTCCTCAGGCAAAAATACTCTGCTTGCCAAGGTTGAACATCACTGGTATGTTTAGTGTGTTTTTTTCTCCTCATGCCAAGAACGTTGCAAATACCATGTTCTTGGCTTGTCGAGGTTCAAACAAACAGGATATATATATATATCATAAATGTTTTTGTTGGCTTGCCGAGGTTGAAAGACATTTGCAGTGTGTTTGGCTTATACTGCAGCAAAGCTAGACCGGTCCCTTCCCGCGAATGGCCCGTGTCCCGTGCCTATGGGACGTGCGATTCCTACGTCGTGGGTACCGACACCGACAGCGCTCACCGGAGTCCCTCAACAGGAACACGCCGGCCCCTCTCCGCTCACGCTCACCTTCATCGTCCGAACCGACCGGGGTCTGGCGCCCTTTCTGAGGCCTTATAGGAAGTGCCTCGATCCCCTGGTAGGTTGTTTCTTTGAACGATCCCCAAAGAGCCCTTGCATAATATGGTATCATGTTTTCAAGTGCATGGAACAATTTGAACTCATCAAGGAAAATAAGATAAGACAACACATTGATCTACACAATCTCGACCAAGCGAGTCACGATCCGCTGAGGCAAGGTTGCAAGCGAGACCCATTGCCACTGCACTCACTCACTGCTTGAAGTTATTTACACACTTGCGAGGTAGTTGCTCGAGTCAGCAAATCACTCGCTTCCATCAAAGGTGGGACGATGTATATTCTAGAGTGATACAAGAAAACATCAGCATATGGAAAGCTTTGCAGGGGAACGGGATAGGCCATCGGGAACAACCTTTGGAAGTGTCCAGCTCCCCATGTCTTCCTCCCAGGTTTGTTGGGACCTTTTCAGAGCACCGGCGAACGCTTTGATCATCTCCTGCGAGGCGCAGGGATGAGAAGAAGTTCCCATGAGACCTCCAAAGACCATTGGCTAGAACCCTCCAAAGAGTGAAATGATGTGAAAACATTGGAACCTTTCAAGACCTGACCCACAGGTGTGTTTGCGTGTGTGCGTGTGTGTTTTATGTTGCTTTTCGGGCACCACCTGTTGAGTGGTTGAAGATAGGCGGTGAATGGTTCCAATGTTGGTGATTGATACTTATGTCATTCACTTCCAACCTTGGATGCAATCCCAAGGACTGAGACGGCTCGGCTTGGAAACCAACCAGTCTTAGATTGGATTCGTTTCCTCCAAAATCAACAAGGTTTTGAATGCATGTTAGTCTAAACATATCAGACATTGCAGAAATGGAATCCCAGAATTGGGGTGCAAGTATTGTCCTAGTATAAAGACTCCGGTGTTTTTCGAGCAAAGAGCCCGTGGAATTTTGGGGTCGTAAGACACCCACACTTGGCACCTTTAGGACTCAGAGGCACAAAGGTCATCGTAAAATCCTAGGGTCATGAAAGGGTCTCTGTGTCAACCCAGACTCGACCTGTTTGGAACTGGCATACTCCCAATCCGGCCAGGGGTGGTTGATGGGGTCTTTCTTTTACACCAGGCCACTCGGAAACAATCGGAGCGGAATCTTTGCCCAGGACAGGGGTGGTGCAGATGTTTTAAGGGTCCTAAGGTTCGAGGTCAATCTTCCAGGAATCCTGGCGTGTGACAGGGGATTGACCGTAAGAATCAATCTTAGGTTTGGGGGATTGTCCAGTCCCAAATCTTAGGTCAATCTTCAGACCCTACAGTTCAAGGTCCATCTTCCAGTCCCATGGATGGTCCCGCGGATTTGGATGGACCCAACGCTGGCATGGATTGCGTTCGAGGCCGTTTCCAGCCATGGCACCGCAGGCATGGACTGCGTGAAGGTCGAAGATGGCCATGTTGAGCCACGTGGTGTGCAGAGCGGTGGTGGCGGGAGGCGAAACGCCCAAGAAGTGGAATGTGAAAGGGAATGGTAGGGCCATGTGCCTAGTAGGGTGAGTCCAGCCTGGGAACGAAATCAAACTTTGGACTCTTGGTTATATTGGTTGATGTCTTTTTGAAGTAACTCCTGGATGTTCTTGGAAAGACCTTGGGAGGGCGGTATTGGGGAGGGATCCCAAGTTCTGCCCCAAGAGATCCCGGAGACGAGCTCCGAGAACTTGCCCCCCCTGGGTTTTGGATGGTCTCACCGTCGATTTCTTGAACCTTCCAGGGGGTCGGACAACCTTGGTAGATCCTTTACTACGCGGTATTTTTTCATGGATCGAACGTTGATGGAGTTTTGCCCGGCAGAATACGCAGTGGCTGGCTCTTGTAACCAATTTCACATAATTTCACCCATTGAAGATTCCCCTTTTGATGGGTACCGGTTGATAGTATAGTTGATAGAAATGCATCATGACAAGAATCATACACAGACTTGGGCAAATGTGGCGAGAAAGAATTTGCACAATGGCATCCCTGAGGCAAGAACCTAATTGAATCTAAATGATATTGTTAATCCTTTGTACTTGCATTTTGTATGTTTGAACTGCTACTAAATCATGTCTCCAGAGGTGCCCAGACAGGCCAGCTTTATCACTGAGGTGTCAAATTCCCATCACGGAAGCCTTGCAAAACTCCTACGGCACTTTGCATGGCGGCTGCACTGCCACCATTGTGGACGTTCTGGGGACCATGGCCTTGTTGACCAAGGAGCGAGAACACAGATGCGTGGAAAGGGAGGACCAAAAAAAGGAGGACTGCGCCCCCCAAAACATGTCCGAGGTCACCGCTGGCTATGAATAGCGAGCTCTGTAAGTAGTACCCACACTGGGAGTAGCCTTGCTAACAGAATCATTCAATATTTAAAGTACCTAAAGGGATGTATACCTGCTGAAATTCCACACGACCGTCGCACCCAGGGAAAGCGCCACATTGGACAATGCATGCAGGCTGCGTGCAAGGATAATTATGATAATTGTTTCCTTCATGTCAATCCATCATCAAACAGTGGCGGCTTCAGGCTGCTTTTTGCCAGGTTTATGGCAACTTTAGATGGTTCCAGGTGCCAGAATACGAATGGGCTTTATATATTGAACGAACATTATCCTTCCCAGTGGACTGTATACACCCTGATTCGGTGGTATTCTGCTATCAGAAGCCCCAAAGAGGAAGAATCACGGCTGCACCTCCCCCACTTGTGCTCGCAGCCCGCCCTGGGCGGCCCCCCCCCCCCCCCGCAAACCGCCCGCGCTCCCCGCTCCGCTCGCCCGCCCGCCGTCAGGACGCGACGCGGCCCGGCGTCAGCGTGGAGATGAGCCAGAGCTTCTTGGCGCCTGCCAAGGGCGGCGAGGCGCCGAACCGCGTTCGAACGGCGCCGTTCTGCGACACGTGGCCACGTGGCCCCTTCCCCGTCCAGATTCCCCGTTTCTCCGATGCGCAGGTGATTGTGGCGCGTGGGGAGGTGGTGAAGTATGGCCGGGCATTGGGCTTTACTGAGGCCAGGGGCCAGGGGACTCTAGTCTTATCATGTCTTATCTAGTCTTGAGTCGTGATATGTTGACTGAGATGATGGCTCTTGAGTGAGTCTCAGTCTCAGGTGGAGCTGTAAAACTTGGATTTGACTGTAACTCACCAAATGCTGCTTGCAAAGGCATTTGTGTGATCCATCATGTGTGGCTTCAGGCTCGCGAAGCCTTTGGCGTAGGCTCTTGGATTTCACATTGGCAAAGCGAATTCGCAAGGCTAACTTAGACACCCTTCAGCAAGAACTAACACGAAACTGGGGCGAGATCCTTCTAGTTTGGTTCGAGAATCGATAATCTCTTTGTGTTTTGCCTGTTTCCTTAGGCAACTTTGCACATCCATAATTCTCTCTCTCTCTTTCTCTTTCTCTTTTTGTTGTATATAGTTGGAAAAATCAGGATAGACGTCGATTTGACATGTTGAATCTTTGTGAGTAGGATTCGGATTTGCATCACCTTTTTGGGGCATTTGTTCACTCGCCTTGGGGGGCTCCTGGCCGTCCGATTCCTTGAGCGGTTGTGGAACCGTCGGAGGTGAGACTCTTCGATGCCAAGGGCAAGCTCTTGGCCACGGGGAAACACACCAAAGCCTTTCCCAGCTGAGAGGATGCAACTGCCTAAGAGGAGGAGTGACTAGTGATCGGGTTCTTGGGTTCTTTGGGCGGATGGCAGGGCGGATGTTGGACTGGGAGTGCCACTCGTGGCAATGAATCTTCAGCTGGAATCTGGCTGACTTGGAGGAATCTATAGAGGTGACTTCAACAGCATGATGGAGCGGCTCACGATGGCTCACGTTTTTGTTTTCATGTCTTTCATGCTGCTCGTCCAACTGAGCATGTTCGGTCGGAGTCGTGGTGCTTCCTTGGGCGATTCATGTCCCAGACACTCCGTGCCATGTCCCAGACACTCCGTGCATATACCTACAACATTGACCCCCCTTTTTGAACCACCCCTTTTTGTCAGCAAAGAGTCCAGTCATGTCCAGTCCGTCTACTGACTGCAGGACGTGTCGTTGTCGTTTGGGTCCGATGGTGATTTTGGACAAACGTCCCATGGAGTGTTGGGTGATTGGTTTCTTTCCGCCCGACCAGACCCATTTCGGGGGAACCCATCGAGCGCAGCACGATCGAAGCGACGGTGGTGGTTGCCACCACGGTCGAAGCGATGTCGAAGCAGCTTCGACTACAAAGGGGTTCCTCTTTTGGAACACCCAGAAGGTTGTTCATACGTGATTAGTAGTATTGAATGGAGCAAATGGCAAAGCTGGACCAAATTAAGAAGTGGGGTGGGTGGGTGGGTGAGTGGGTGAGTGGGCAATTTTATAGTACAGTATTGGAACTCTTGTAAAGGTCAACTGGTTGTTGGCGTTGGTACCAGCCTTGGACTCTTGGAGCTGGTTCTGTACCTACTCAGTTGTGCTGCCGAGCTGACAAAGACCACCAAGAAGGTGTGAGTGATGCACTGGTGTACTGCCTGCCAGGACAATGCTCGGCAAGTTCTTTGTTCATTCCACCATGGAGACTTGGAATCGCTTCCTCATCGCTTAGCCTTCAGCACTCCAAAGGACAAAAAGAAGCCACAGGCTGCCGCAGGAGTTGTTGATCAATGTTGATGACAATACAAATTATTTTTGGATTGGATGTTTGCCTCCCCTGACTGTCATCAAACATTGCTTCCCCATTGCGTCGGTTTCGTTCAACAGGGAAAGGTCCTCGTGTCATCATATGGGTTGTTTCCAGCTGACTAGCCAAATCCCAGAGTCAGTGAATCCCTTTTCTCTTTGGAAGTCATCGTTCTCTTATGGCCGCTGGTTCCATGGCTGGATTGGTTGCTTGCTTCTGGATAACCGCAGGGTGGGATATGGATAGTTGCTAAGATATTGTTGGAGCGCACTTGCCATACGCTCCCTGCTTGTCATCATGCTTACGTGGATGCCATGGCCCCGAAAGGAAGAGCTTTTTCCGAATACCAAACAGGTGGTGAGCCCCACTTCCAGTTCCTGGCGGGTGTAGTTGTTGGTGCTTATCAGGTGGGTTACAGATCGATCATGGCCAGGTGGGTGGTCTCCGGTCTTTTGAGATTCGGCACTTCTATTCTGGGTGGATCCATTCACCATCTTCATGCGCAGGGAGACATTGGAGTACTGAGTCACTTACTTCCCCTGCGGCCCGGCGTGTTTTTGTTCCCGTTTCCCATGAATGGATTTGAGCAGGATTCACCGGAGATCTTTGTGGTGTCCTCGGACATCCTGTCAGCATGACAGGTGGTGGGCGGCAACCGAGAAGAGCTGATGTTCCAATTGATCACCGTGCCAATCTCAGCGGAGATGTTCCAATTGGTCACCCAGTCACTCGTTACTTCGAGAGGTTGAACAGCCGTTTTGAGGCCGAGCGATGGTATATGAGTGTGTATTGGGTTTTGCCCTGACCCAATGAGTTTTAGATCTATGTTACTTCTTCCAAAGTGTTCGAACTGGGAGGTCTTCCTATTTATATGCACACCCGGCCATAACTCTTTTGGACCACCAGGGGGGAAGCAAACCTCTTTGGGCACGGCACGGGCACCTCCATTTAGGTGGTTGAGTTAGAGACGGTCAACATCTGTGATTTTTGCCAAGTGCTTGCGAACAAGCAAGTGCTTGCGACAGCGACCCTGGATGATCATCGGGTATATTGGGATCCAACTGTTACTAGTAGCGATGCACTTGTTTCTAGTAGCGTTCTTGTTACTACTAGTAAGGCACCTGTTCCTAGTAGCGTGACACTTGTTCCAGTGGCATACGACACTGTGCCGTCCGAGGTGCCGAATGCCAAGCTGAAGGATGCAGATCCTTGGGCTGAGGGCTTCGAAGCGAGTTGGACGTTTGAGTGTAGAGTGTATATATAGAGATGTATAGACGGTATAGAGTGTTGTCTTGTTTTGAGGACATGGTCTAGAATTGTGTTATTAATGATAATGTTTGATCCTTATGATCGTGGCAAATGTGGGAAACCACTGAACTAGAGACATGTCATCTGCCCTAAAATAGTCCTGCTTGTTTTGGAATTTGTGCCCTTCTTGGTCGTCTTGAAGCAGATAGAGCCGAAAAGAAGACGTCGTTGCTCTCGCCTTCTCGGCAAAGGGTGGACACTAATATGATCTAATATGATGTTTCTTCCGAGCCTGAAGCATTCCCTCCGTTCGGGGCTGGGGACCGCCACCCCGCAGCCAGAAAGCCGTTGGACCGACGTTCCCGACCGGAAGTCCATGGCGACCTTCCCGTTCTACCGGACGTTCCGGGTGACCGAACTGGACAGGATGTTCGTTGGTGACCTTTTCCAGATCCAAGTGACCTCATGACATGAATTGGGATCTCATGACCCAGGTCACTGGGAAGAGTATGGGAAGGTCTTCAGCTACTCACAGCTGAGGCTTTGGAGTGTCTCAGCTCTGCCAGTGTGGCGGATACTTCGGCCAGTGAGGCCAGGGCCTTTGGAGATGTTTGTCCGCGTCCACGCTTCTAATATCTTCCGAAGATGGTGTTCCCTCTCAACATTCATGTGAACATGACGGGTGATGTTCTTCACAGGTCCAGTAAACTCCAAAAGTTGCACTCCTTCTTGAAAGGCCAGAAGTTAGAGTTGGAACCTTTGTGTTCAGAACATGTTCCACACAGAATCAGGGGCCCGGTACATTGGAACCACGGGATTTGGTGCGTTCCGACCCAAGACCCATCCCAAGGACCCAACAGGTCGCTCGGGCCACGACGGTCGCGATCCCGATGGTCCGGCACCGGCACCGAGAGCTCAACCAACAGCATCTCCTCGATGTTTCCCGGGTTCCTCGGGGCGCCACTCACCACCTCCCGGCTGTTTAGAAGAACACCTCACCCGCCGCCATAAAGCGCCTCCGCTCTCCCCGGCGCTTTTTTGCCGGTGTCCCCGCTGTGGCTCAGATGGAATCCCTGATCGGACTGCTGGACGTGAAGGGTGAGGAGAAGCGTCCGCATGACCTGGTCGGACGCGGTGCTCGTGGTGGGGAGGGGACTCAGGAAACTCGTGAGCTCCCAAGCAACGCGATCCAACCAACCGGCCCGTTATTTGGGGTCCCGGTCCCTTGGAGGGGTCCAGGAGCGCTTGGGAAGAAGATCCAGAAGATGGAAGGATGGAAGAACACCATCAGAATCAGATTTAAGCCTGTAGGTTCCGCCGCTCATCCTTTGCGCTTCATCCTTTGCGGCAGGAGTTGCAGTCGTCCTTTACCTACCTGGAGCGGGCACGCCCTTTGGGTTTCGGCCCGGACGGTGTTGAAAAGATCGGCAATGGAAAGCCGTTTCCCCCCCCAATCCGGACTCCCCCTCAAGCGAAAAGGAGCTCCCTTTTTGGCTGCCCTGTTAGATTCACTCAGAGGAGTGTAGAGGGGCTTGGAGTCGAGGTGAACCCTTCAAGGTCACGGTGCTGCTGCATAGTCACGATGGTCACAGTCCTATTCCCGGTGTGCAGTGGGCTGCATCATGTCGCATGTTGCATGAACCGCGAGACTGCACGGACTACCCCTTGTGCTGCTTCTCTATCGCTGCGTGCAGAAACTGCGGCAGGGATTCGCTTTCGGTTGGAGACGTGGTGAGATGTGATTTTAAAGGATGTTAAAGGAGCCTGTTGGTGATGAGTGATGAGCGTATTGTACGATGTCAAAAGGTTGAAAGATAGGTTCTTGAAGATCGTACAAGCTACAAGGTCCGCAAGGCCCATAATCCCTTCACTTCAGAGGGTGTGCCACGCGCTGACTGCGTCAGTGTTCTGTGTTCTTCACAGTCAGTGTTCTTTCAACTCCCCAAGTGTTTCCATGCCAAGTCCACTGGTCTGTCGTCCAGTTCTCCCACTGAGACCAGACGCGTGAAGAAGACTCATCAGAGTCAAGACTTGATCGGTCTCAAGGACTCGTCCGACAGAGTGGATGAACGACGATGAAGCAAGAAAGATGATGAACATGATGAACTGATCAACGACGTCTCGTCTGTCTCGTCTCTAGATCATGAACCAGTTGAACAAGATGCTGACAGCGCAGAGTGGGTATGGCGCCCTGCTGCGACCTCAGCTTGGTGAGGAGGGCGGGCTCCAACCGGTCCAGCAGGTGTTTTTGTTGTGGAGCCAACGAGTCCCACTAAGCAGCGCCAAACAAGCCAAGGAACCACCAATCAATCAATGTTCAGTTGTTTGGGGTTTCGGGGGGGTTGACATGAGTTTTAGCTGTGCCAAGTGAGTTTGTTGACACTCGTTATATACCTGATGTTGTTTTTTATTTTTAAATGTTTCTGGCAATTTGCGTGGTGTGTTCCACGCATGGATTCTCGAGAGATTTAGAGGCCCTGTGTGCCGTGATTGTTGCCACCAGGCCGAGGCATTTAGAGTGGAGTGGCCCCCGGGCGGGCGGATCGGAGCCATGGAAGGCAATGAGGACTTGGAGATCGATCACACCGTGCGGTCAGTCGAGTCTGAGGACCCGACTGATGTGTGCAGTTCAACACTTGGAACAAATCATCGTGATGTCTGTCAGTGTTGTTCATGTGTTTTTCCTTTTTCCAGTCAACATGTTGAATCTCTTTCGATGTTGGAGTGATCCATTTCTCATGTGCTTGACAATATGTTGTTCAAAACATGTTAAACCATGTTAAAACAATGATAATTTATGATAATTTATCTATTAGAATAAACTTAATACAATGTACAATGTTCATTTGTTGAGCTATTTTTTATGGGGTGCGTGGGCCTATATTTAGTCTCCTCTGTTGGGGCTTAGGAGCTATATATAAACCCACTGGAACTATATATAAATTTGGCAAACTTTTGGGGGATGAGGCCCACGCACCGCCATGGTAAGGCTCACGCACTACTTTGTGCATTGACCAGGTCAAAAAAACCATGCATATAAGGAGTCCGGAGTCTTGTGTGTGTCATGTGACATGTGAGAAAGGATTGCTGGGCCGCAGATTTTGTTTCAAGATGAGGGATTCAAAGAAGGCGACAAAAACTCGCCGAGTGAAAGTTAAAGTTAAAAGGAAGATTCGGATTCGAATCAAAAAAACACATAGATCCCCAGGTCAAAGTGGCTTGCCTGCTACTTTGTTGCCTCCACCTCCACCACCATGCACTGTGCGCAGGTGCCCTGTGCGAAGGGATTTTAGCCACCTCCCTCCACCACCACCTCCACCCCCCCCCCCCCCACCACTGCCGAGGCCAAAGCGAAAACATGGTTTTTCACGGAGGGCCCCCCTCAGATCAGGTCTTAGATCTGATCAAGGCAGATGAAGGTTCAGAGGTGTTGGCTCCAAAGGCCCATGCGAGATGCCATAGGGGCTGCTTCATGGCTTGCCAGCTCCTTTTCTGGCAAGCGGCAAGACGGACTATTTTCAATTGCACCGCCGTGGTTCCAGCAGAGGTGCCTTCCGGTATTTTCACACAAGCAAACCAAACCCACAGTTGCTTTCCACAAAGATGAACTTATTGTTGGTGGGTTCTCCTTGTTTTGTTGACAGTTGACAGCAGCTAACATGGACCGGTATCAGATGGGATTGGACTACATGCCCGATGAGACACTTTGTCTCAGCTGCA